GGAATGACTGAAATAGACCACATTTGACCTGAGGAGCCATGTTGGCCCTGCCCTGCCCTGCCCTAATCCACCCAAAGAAGGAAAAAGAAAGTGGATCAGATTATGCCAGCTGGATGTGGAGTAACAAAACTGCACTAGGGAAACAGTGGAAGCGACAAAGCCATGAAAGGTCTGTCTGCAAGCAACTCCCAAGAAATCCATTAGGACAATCTGTTTCTGAAGGAAGGGAAGAAAGCATTCATGTTGTATAATCCAATCTGATTTTGAGGTTTTATGCTTTGTGGGTTTCAGGTCTGTTCTGGCTCCCACTAATACCTGTGACAGTTGTGCTACTGTTGCATTAAGAGAATGAACAGAATTTCCAGGGAGCTGATACCTTGAAGAGGCTTTTGGTTTTAGGTTAGGCTGACAGATTGGTCTGTGTTAATATGCTCTGTATATATATTAACTCTGTATCTAATAAAGACTGTTGTTAGGTTACTAGCAATGATTTGTTATTAAGACTAGTGGATTACTTGAATATATAACACAATAGTGAAAGGGGCTTTACCAGGAATATAACATAGTATAGCTGTAATGTTTTTGCATTGCTTAAGAAATGTATGGGCTTTAGGTTTTCTTTAAATGTCTGTTTTAGTATCAGTAATTCAGAATGTATCCATGTAGTCGGGAGTGGCTTCATGGTAAAGGATTTTGCTCTGAGTAGGGAATGATGAGGCCACCAGTATAGAAGCCCCTTGCCCAAGGGAACAGATGTAGGCATCGCCTCCTACGTAAACTTGATTTGAAATCGTGCTGAATATTGATTTAATGTAGAAAGTTGATTTAATGTAGTAATATTTCTGAATTGTCAAGAATCTGTATGATGATATAATAGTCATTTGGAAAAAAGCGAAATTTTCAGAACTCTCATTCGCTTTGCTTCTGATATGAAAATTGCACTTGCTTCCTGTAGGTTATCCATTGACATTTGCCCATGTATGGTCACTAAGGCATAATATGTTCATTGTAACTCTACATCTCATTTTTGAGGAACATGCTATTTCTACATTTGGTGCATCTTGATATTGGCTTCTGCAAGTCAGAGATATATGCAACTTTTTGAGCACAAATGCCTTTATTTCCAATAATCTAGAAAAATAATTATATTGTCTACTACAATATGAGTTTCACAGCAAAAGTATAATTTAAACAAATGATTATAATTAACACTACTATTTTGAGGCACTATCATATCTTTTTCTTCCAAACATAATCTTTCACCTTTGTCTGATGTGACATGGAGACAGTTAATATCATAGGATGCTTCACTATATTCACTGTCACTTAACTCATCTGACAACATCATAGAGTCATAGACATTAAGGTCAGAAGGGACCATTATGATCATCTAGTCTGACCTCCTGCACAACACAGGCCACAGAATCTCACCCACCCACTCCTGTAATAAACCCCTAACCTATGTCTGAGCTGTTGAAGTCTTCAAATCGTGGTTTAAAGACTTCAAGGTAAAGAGAATCCTCCAGCAAGTGACCTGTGCCCCACGCTGCAGAGGAAGGCGAAAAACCCCCAGGGCCTCTGCCAATCTGCCCTGGAGGAAAATTCCTTCCCGACCCCAAATATGACAATCAGCTAAACCCTGAGCATGTGGGCAAGACTCACCAGCCAGACATCCAGGAAAGAATTCTCTGTAGTAACTCAGATCCCACCCCATCTAACATCCCATCACAGGACATTGGGCATATTTACTGCTAATAGTCAAAGATCAAGTAATTGCCAAAATTAGGCGCTACCATCATACCATCAATTCTGGATCTTTTCTGTCCTCTAGATGTTCAGAATCAGAAAATGATGTGCTCCAAACTTCATCTTCAGTTTTCATAGTCTGAGCCATTGCACTCCCTTCCTCTACTCCTATGTCATATTCTATGTCCGTTGTCAGTCATTCCACATTCTTTATTGAGGCTACAGTGAATGCTTTATGAACACATTATGCATTTTTGTACTTTGCATATCTTAAAGCTCAATTAGAGTTTGTGGCTTGGTATTCACATATACTGAAAAATCAAAAGTTCATCCAAATAAATGTATCTTTCATTGTGCTCTGAAGCTTGTAAGACTGGTATTCTGGCAAACTTTTAAGGGAAATTAATTTAAAAGGGGTGAATGTGAAGGTGGGCATCAACTGAGAGAGCCCTACCACTGATGCTGGAGAATTTTATCCTGTTAGTAAAAGCTTCCAAGACCATTTTAACTGGCATGATGATATATAAAGGAAAAGCTGGTTCTTCAAATAGACCAGGGCCCATTGGGGGCCTTAAAGATTATCACTGGCAAAGAAAATCACACCCAGAAGTGAATTCATTTAAATAGTCAAAATATTTGTGGGGAAAAAATGTGCACTATTTAACCAGCTCTAATATCAATTCAACTTCAATTCTGTATCATTGTCTGAACCAAGATAGAGGTCTAGGAAATATGTAGAATCCATCTGCATTTAGACTTGGCCTAATCACCAATCTCTTCATAACCTTTCGTAAGAAAGTGAGATTCAAGCCAGGATTGTGAAGAAGGGTAGAGAGAGAAATGAGAGGGTTTAAGGTGGGAGGTAGAATACTAGACAGATATCACATGTGGTGTCACCACACCTCCTGGCTTGAAGTACATGTTTTCCGCCTTTAGTACCCCCACTATAAAAATTGTTCCAGACCACAGGGTATCATGCAGCTGTTTATAGGCATTCCCCTGAAAGTGCAAGTCCCAGTGAGTGGGGTTTCCTTGTGCTTAGAGAGTCTCTGCCCATATTTAGTAGGGATTCCCTTGGAACACAAGAAGACTCCACCTACAGAAGGGTGGGGTTTCCCTGGGCCCTATTCAGTGAAAAGATGTTGGAAACCAGGGTTTGACTCCTTTTAATGCTGGCTAATTGACCTTTATATTTATAAACCTGTTGGTGGTCTTGTGTGTCAGAAGAGAGAAAGGAAGAAGAAATATAGAGGTCAGGCCTCAGGCCTTCAGTTAAGTCACAGAATGCTCAGTGCAACTGTAGGGTGCAGGGAAAGGCTGCTTTATGCTATCTTGGGTAGTCGAACCCTGCCCCTTGCAAGACTATTTAAAGTTGGAGCCACCAATGGAACATTTCACCAGTTGGGAATTGCCATGACCCAAACACAAGGGGCTGCAAAGAAGAATGGTGCAGAATCTTTCACACCAGCCCTATGCTACCCAGGAATCTCCTGTGCCAGAGGAATCCACAGGAAGTCAGCTAAGATAGCTTTGTGGCCTTTTTGCATTGCTGTAGTGGCATAAAGGGGCCAAAGACTTGATCCATAATGTGTAGGAGCAGAAAGTGATGAAAACAGGTACAGTTAAAAATAACATTTTGGAGTGAATAGTAAATTTTGCAAAAGATAGTATGGCTGATTCTCCCACTGCTTTGTACCTCATGCAATCATTCACTTTGCACAGGTGTAATATAAATGGGTACAAAATGGTTCCAGATCAGACTGGAAGTATTTTGTCACTTACCTGTGCAAAGTGTATGTAAAATTAGGTACAAGGTAGTGGAGAATCAGTCCCAGTTGTTTTAAGTGATAAAGTCTCTTTGTGGGATTAAATACAAAATCAGAGAGAAATTTTGAGAGAGAGGATTCAAGTCCACATAATTCCCAAAGAAGCCTAAGGTCTCCCCCACCAGGAGGATTAGATTAAGATATACATTTAAGAAAAGAGAGCTTAAAAGACTGACAATCGGGTTTAATGTCTTATACCTGGTGTACGACACTTACGTGAATGAGCATGTCGACACACAATCTTATAAATTAAAAAGAAGAATCAGAAATAAAAAATTGACCTGAGTTCAGTTCAGTAGAATCTCTTAAGCTTGAACAGAAATATAGGCAGACTGAGGGTCTTCATATTATACACCCCTCCTAGAGTACTTTTAAATAAGGAAACAATTGCCAAGTTAATAAGTATTTGTATTATAGTAGCACCTAAAGCCCCAAATGAGATCACAACTCCATTGTGCTAGGCATTGAACTTACACATAGTGTAAAATGCCTGCCCTTAAATGCTTACCATCTAAATAGTTAAGTCAAAGAATGAGAGGAAAAAGAGTTGAAGTGACTTGCCTAAAGTCATGCAGCAGATCAATGGCAGAGCCAGGTATAATCAAGGTCTCCTGTGTCTCCACCTAATGCCCTATACATTGGACCATACTATATATTAGATTAGGGAATAGAGCTCCAATACTACAATGTGCTACGTAACTTTGAGGAGAGACTGAGCACCTCCAACTCCATTTGAAGTCAGTGGCAACTTCGGGCACTGAGCATCTTTCAGGAAGCACTCAGAACCTCACAGGTTCATGTCTAATATCTTTCAATATAAAAAATAAAATTAAAACTAAAGCATATTGCAGGAATGTTTGTGAACCTTAAATAGCATGTTAACCATATGTAGCTTTGACTAGTCCAGGTTAAATATGCAAGTGTATCCTCTTTATTCTGCATAGGCGTATTAATAATGGTGTGGTTATAGTTGTGTGAAGGTGAGAATTTTCTGTAATATTGTTATGCCTATGTGTGCCTCAGTTTCCCTCTGTACTTTGCATTGCTACCCAGTGGGTGCAAAAGGTTTAAAAGAGTGGTTCTGGGAGCATTCCTGGAGACATGAGGTGTTTTCTCATGTAACTGTCTTGGGTGGAAAGAATGGGTCATTCAAGAAAGGAATCAATCCCATACCAATGGCCAGGATGTTCACTTGTAGGAACCAAGATCGAGAAGGAGATTTTTCCCCATTTCTCAGCGGGGAAGCAGAGCAACGGTCCTAGCTCAAGGACAATAGACCAAAAGGTGTCAGGATACTGGGATATGCGTTGGCTGTTGTAGAAAGTCAAGAGCTCTTACCGAGGACTGACAGAGATGGCAGGACAGAGACTGAAATGGATTCTATAACAGCTTGGCTGGCTGATTGCACTGTCTTGGCCAGAATAGACCTTGTCTTAATGTCTAATTTAAGGACATTCAGATTTTGTACTCCAGATGACAAATAAATTGTTACTTTTTTTTTTTAAAGGCTGCCAGGTGTCACTGCAAATACTCACTGAAAGCATTATGCCCTGAAGGAGTACAGTACAAGCCTTCCACAGGAGTCTTGCTTCTCTGGATCTGCTGCAGGGAGCCATTGTGAACAATAAAGATTGCTGGCATCTGAAGACCCAGTTTTGGAGTCGTGGAGGCAGTAGGCTATCCCTGTGGAAATGTCAGGGTCCTGGTAGCCCAGCACACTACAGGGGACACTCCCAAAGTATTGCGGTTACAAGCAAGGGTATAGAACAGACCCTGTAATCCATGACAATAGACTGTCTGGAGGCTTCAAATTTATATGCAAATGCCTACACAGATCAGATATAGTATAAAAAATATGTTTGATATTGTACCTTAGTTCTGTAACTAAACATAGTCAAGTTTAGATTATGTCAATGTATTCAGAAAGAAGAAAAAAAACCAATATCTTAGTTTATTGTAGATGTGATTATTCCCCACAGATATTTGCATTGATCCAAAGACCACTGACATTAATGGGAGTCTTTCTGTTTACTTCAGGGGACATTGGATCAGCCCTTTAATATGTACAGTGTATTTTCTAACGAAGAGTTAACTTTAGTGATCCTTATGAGCAAACCATAGATGTTCTTTTTGACCTATGGAGGCGCTGCTTACAACCCCATAATAAAACTGAAGATTTCTGATTCAATGTTAAGAAGACCTTTAGACCTTTTATTTTATAAAAATATCACTGAAATGGCAAAAAACAAAATATGGAATAAAACTTAGAGCACAATTTAAATTCATGGTGATTTGATGAAAAAGTAATTGATAGAGAATGATAAGAGTTCAAAAATAATTTATTTGGTCTTTTTTTTTATTAGGTTGTCTCCTTTTTCTTTGTACCTATTTTTCAGTAAATCTAAATACTCTTGAACCTGTCCTTGGTCCATAGTATGGCTCTTCATGTGCTGTCTGGAGAAAAAATACTTTTATAATACAGCAGTATTTGTCTCTGGTATACCAGGGTTTCATAAGAGATGTTTTACAATACATTTCTCTTAGAAATATAGGACTAGGACATGTTTAACCTTCATCGGTGTATCCAACGGCCAGGGCCGGCTCCAGGGTTTTGGCCGCCCCAAGCAGCCAAACAAAAAAAAAAAGCAGGAGTGAGGGACCATCTGCCGAATTGCCGCCGAACAGCTGGACATGCCGCCCCTCTTTGAAGTGGTCACCCCAAGCACCTGCTTGGTAAGCTGGTGTCTGGAGCCGACCCTGCCAATGGCAATGGTTATTTAAATGTTTTTGAAAAATCTGGATTTGAAGAGTCGGATGGATCTAGCTAATGTATATGGACCCAGATTGTGATTCATTTGACAACATTCTATTTATTACATGATACCAAGGAGTCAGAGTGAGGAAATCCCAACTACCGGGTCAAATTCAGATGATCTTCAAAAGAAATAAAAGGTATTTCAGTTTGGGCCAGATTGTAAATCATCTACTCACACTGACAAGCAGTTACTCAGAACAGTAGCCCAACTGACTCCAATGGGACTGCTTCTGTGATTAACTCCTCATTATTGTGAGCAAAGAGTTCATATTTGTGCTCTAGGAAAAGAAGAACCTTGTCTGGCATGTTATGAGGCTAAGCTCCTTGGCTTTGTAACTTTCAGAACTCACTCCTGGCCTTAATGGGTATTATTAGTAACTTTAGTCACATCTCTGACTACAGCATTAACTATGACAATTTTAGGTCATGTCCAGTGGGTCTGATCCTTCACCCAATCTTATTGTATCTAGTTTCTTAGACTGTCTCTATAGCCAGGATTTTTGAATCTTTCTTTTTTCCTTCCAAATTGTTACACAGCACATAAAATATCTGGGGAAAATTGGTCCGAGTTAAGCTAAAAATATATTTAAATTAAATATGTCACCACCGTGGAACACTACAAAAGGGGATTTAGACAGATGGAGTAATCCACCTATTTTGCTGTTAGGCAGAATTTCCATAATAAAGATTAATATAGTCCCTAGGCTGATTTATCAATTAAATGTACCTATTTGTCTTTAAAATGCCTTTTTTAAAGCAAATGTACAGCAAATTGTCTATAGCAACATAAAAAAGTTTGTTTCATACTCAAGAGATTGCAGCAAACATGACTATGAGGAGGGCTCAAATTTCAAATATTTCTGGGTTCCGCGGTTAGATTTCTTGGTAAAGTGGGCAGAGACCATGTAAAACAGGCATCAGCTCCAACTTTCTAGTCCTTTTAACCTTATCTGTAGGGCCTAAATTCTAAAATGGCTAAGTGCACAAAAGCATGCCTAATTTGCTTGCACAAGTTCTGTTTGTATGACACTGTCTGGGTAATTGCATAGACAAATAGTTCTGGCATTTGCATCTGCTATTACCTGATTTATAAATTCATCCATTGTACAGGTATGTGCAAGTTAGGCATCAATTGCATATCCATTTTGCATGTGCAGTTGCATGCCTATGCTTTTTTTCAAAAATCAGTCTCTTTTACCATCTGATGCCATATTAGGCAAGTGAAAGCTAAACTGGAAGCATCACCAGTGCTCACAGTTATCGACAACAATAATTTCCTACCAACCCTAGTGGACTGAACATTCAAGTAATAGGCTTCAGATTACATAGGGACACAACTGGTAGAAAAGGTTTTTGCTCAAGAGAATTGCATAAGTAGGGAATACTTGATAAAAAAAATTTCAATATAAACTTGCTAAACACTATCTTGGAAAGAAAAAAGATGCATGAATCCCCTTAACTGTTACGAATACATGAAAAACTGGGTAACTGTTTCACTTTAACAGCTTCATTCATGGGATTTCAAAACACTTTACTAATATTAATTAATTAACCTATTATTAACATGCTACCCTTAACTGCCCACTTTCAAAACCTTTATGCATAAAAATCTAACCCCCAATTGCTCACTTCATTTCAAGTAACAACCCCCAACATGTTAGTCCTTCTGCTTAGCAATCTGTCCCAACTTGTATTTAATTCACTCTGCTTCCTTCCCCAGACCTGAAGAAGAGCTCTGTGTAGTTCAAAAGTTTGTACTTTCCACCAACAGATATTGGTCCAATGAAAAATATGTCTGCACCTACCTTATTTTTCTCATTAATGAATTATGTCTCACAATATACTTGTGAGGGAGGGAAGAATTATCGCCATGTAATCTGCTCCTCTCACTGCTGTTTATCTTGGTGACAGTCTTCACCTCCCACCCCTTTTTGGAGACTACTCACCTGGTTTAATCTGTTTAGGTTAGAAGTTTTATATCAAGGGTATACAGTGCTACAGGGGAGGCACAAATCATACCTCTCAGCCTGCCAAAGTATAAGCGTGGGATATAATATATCACAAAGAAACAAAATGAGGGGGACAAAAATTATTCATGCAGGAAACTTACGTAAGAGCCATTCCTCTAATCCAAATAACTCTTTGCATATGGCATATGTTTATTTTCACAATCCTTTATTTCTGCTGTAAATAATTTCCAACAATAAATGAGAGGGGACCCTAAATTTGTGTGGAAGATAGGTACATTTGGAACTAAAATGAGTGATAGCCCTCAACATGAAAAACATTTTAGAAGTATTAGATGAACCATTGATATGATATACAAGCAGAACTGGAACAAACTAGAATTAAAAATAACAGCTTGAGATAGATTTTATTCAGATTTTCAATAAATAATGCAATTGAAACTCAGTATTTTGTAATTTAAAAAGTGTCCTCACCAAGCCTAAACAATATTTATATGATAAAATCAACTAAAATATCTCCAAAGCACTGAATATGAATAGAAGACCACTAAGAGGGCCTGATTTTCTGCTCCACTCCATTGTAGTTACGCTAGTGAAAAAGCAATGTCAGTGGAGAAACAAGCCTAGAAGCTTAATCTGCTGTGAATGTGGCAGCCTATTTGTCAAAAAATGTTTTGAGCTTGTTTGGGTTTTTTGTTTGTTTGTACTTGTGATAATGTTTAGTGATCTGCATTGTGTGCTAGTCCATTTCTAGTGCAATTTAGGGATTTGGGGTGAAATAATCTGAGACACTTGGACCAAGAAACCTTTGACTGAATCAGGTGGGGGCAAGAGACAGAGAATTTTCAGTGAGTGGACCTGATAGTGAAATTCAGTTTCCTTTTGCAAATTCCCCCAAAGTCTGAGTTTGTCCCTCTCTACTTTAAAGATTTTCTACTTATATAATTCTTTGTTGACGATACTCTAATATAGTAAGTTTCTTGAAAATCAAAAATATATATATTTTTTTAAATTATCATTGCACTGCAATGTCTTCTCAATACCAGGCACTGAAACTCAGCAGGGCCTGCTCCAGGGTTTTGGCCGTCCCAAGCAGCCAAAAAAAAGCCATGATCGCGATCTGCGGCGGCAATTCGGCGGGAGGTCCTTCACTCCGAGCAGGAGTGAGGGACCGTCCGCCAAATTACCGCCGAATAGCTGGATGTGCCGCCCCTCTCCGGAGCGGCCGCCCCAACCACCTGCTTGCCAGGCTGGTGCCTGGAGCTGGCCCTGAAACTCAGCCACATTTGTATTTAAACACTTTTTACTGGCTGTCCTCCAGAGGCTGAGATTGCTGGCCTTTAGGGCCCTATGCAAGACTTGTCTTTTCAGCTAAGTGTTTGCTTGACTTTATTAAACTAAGACGCTGAAGATTTTTTTCTTTGATGTATTGGTGTGTTTGATTTCTCCATATATATATTATTTATATATATATATAAATAATACTGATGGCTTGTTTAATTTAATGTATGTAATGCAATCAGATACCATGGCAATGGATGCATCATACATTATTAAAATATAGATAGCTGTAGTCTTTATTTGTAATATGTACAGATCCAACCTTAGCATCTTTGACAGGGATGTGGAAGAATTTTTTTACTACTTATCCTTCCCCAAAGATAAGACACAAGTCCATTGTGGTCACTCCATTTTACACAGAGTCAACCTAAGGATTTTGGAGAGATTTAGTGGGATTATTTTTTTGGAATTACTACACCAATTTTAATTTTTTTTTTAAAAATGTGTGCATTGGAAGTCTCTATTCCACTTTCTGCTGCAGAAATGAATCCTGGTTGCTTGGGCTGGTTTTTGTGCGTAGTTGTAATCCATTCAAAAAGATTTTGAAAGGGAGAATTGCCCAAACAAGATAGGTAACTATGACCCACTAGAACTCCAGTCATCAAAGAGTGTTGTATGCATTTTAGTAAATATTATAGCCTTTTACACAGGTGAAGATTCGTGCACTTAGAGTCTAATAATAAGAATTTCTGCTACAAGCTGGGCGCTCTTTAGTTGAAAGCGACAGAAGAGAAGAGTTGGGTGTGTTGACTGTTCACAAGATGAGTAGGAAGCTTGCAGCTGCAAAAAGGGCAAATGCTAGGATGTATCAGATGAGGGGTTTCCAGTAGACGGAGAAGTTTTAATGCCATTGTACAAGGCACTGGTAAGACCTCATTTGGAATATGGGGTACAATTCTGGTCACTCATGTTCAAGAATTCAAAATGAAACAGGCACAGAGAGTAGCTACTAGAATGACAAGGGAAATGGAGGGCCTATCTTTTGACAGAAAACTGGAAAAGCTTGGCTTGTTTAGCCTAGCAAAAAGAAAGCTGAGAGGATATATGAATACGCTCTGTAAATACATCAGAGGGGAAAACACCAGGGCGGGTGAAGGGCTATTTCGGCTGAATAATAATGTTGGCACAAGAAAAGGATATGAACTGGCCATGATCAAACTCAGGCTGAAAATTAGAAGCTTTCTAACATCAGAAGGGTGAGGTTCTGGAACAGCCTCCCAATAGGAGTTGTAGGGGCAAACAAAGTAATTAGTTATGAGTGTGATTATATAATGGGGTTGCTTGTGTAGGGGGCAGAGCTCAGCAACCTTGTGGATCTCCTTCTGGTTTATGTCTTATGTTTCTAAAATCACGTTTCAGGGCTTCAGCTGATCACCTGCAGGGATCAGGAAGGGATTTTGCAAACCTCCTGTGTAGTCTGCTTTTTTTTATCTCCTTACTTTGAAGCATCAGAGTTGGGCATGGCTGCAAATTGGACACTGGACAGCATGGGCTAATGTGCTAATGAGGCATGGGACATTCTCTCTCTCTCTCTCTCTCCCTCTTGCTCATATGCCCAGGGTCGAACTGGTCACCATATGGAGGGTCAAGAAGGATTTTTTCCCCAGTTCAGATTGGCAGTGACCTTAGGGGTTTTTCACCTTCCTCTGCAGCATGGGGTGTGGCTAACTTGCTAGAATTAAATGGGTATATTTTACTCAATCAATTCACTGCTACTGCAGGGACCTTGGGCAATGAGTGCACCATGGTTCCTCTTACTCTCTGCTTGTGACACATAATTAGGTCCCTATCAAATTCACAGTCCATTTTGGTCAATTTCACCATCATAGGATTTTAAAAATAGTCTATTTCAGATGTTTATATCTGAAATTTCAGGGTGTTGTAACTGTGGGGGTCTTGACCCAAAAGGCAGTAGCGGGGGGCTCACAAAGCTGTTGTAGGGGGAGTCGCAGGATTGCCATCCTCACTTCTGTGCTGCCTTCAGAGCTGGGCTCTGAAGGCAGCGCAGCCAAAGAGTTTCCTGCAGCCCGGGGAGATACCCAGAGGTGTGTCTGATCTTCCCCTTGAGAGCAGCTGTGCAGGAGAAGAGGCAGTCCCATCCCTCCTCAGCCCAGCCAGGACTAGCAGCTGGAGCCTGGTGCACAGTAGGAGCTCCAGGCTGGGGCTCCTCCAGCCTTGCCCTTCCCCCCACAAATAGCTAGATTTCATCATGGGGTTGATCCAGTTGTGCTGGAACAATTTGTATAATAGGTTTGCTGACAGCCATTGAACCAAATGGTAAACCCGTATATGATGGAAACCACTTCAAGCCAGGGGGTGAGGCCAAACACCCAGCACCCTTAGTTCCTGCACCTAAAGGGAGATCTGATTTCACAGTCTGTGATGCATTTTTCACAGCCATGAATTTGGTAGGGCCTGTGAGCTGCAATACTTTGACCTGTTTTGGTTGTTGGGTTTAGTGTGTGGGTGCTGGTTGGGAATGGTACCTGTGATATATAGGTCAGAGTAGATGATCTGGTGGTCCCTTCTTGCCTTACACGCTATGACTCAGTCAAGATGCAACCTGTTCCCACTGTCAGTCCACCAGTACAAGGACAGCCTGTTCAGAGGAGCAATGAAGGTAAGTTGTAAAGATAAACTCTCTCATTGTTTTCTTGTACTCTTCCATCTGTCTGTCCTTATCCATCTGTTGTTTCTTTTCTTATACTTTGATTTAGGGATGGCATTTCTGTTCTGTGTTTCCTGCATAAAATGCCAATGAATGCAAGCATCTTGGGCCTGTTTCTCTTTCTGATACCAGTTTTAACATTGGCTTTAATGGAGCTACTCCTGATAAATATTGAGAAAAGAGAATCAGTCTTTCCTCTATACAACTTCTCAACCACAGATTCATAGATTTTTGAGGCCAGAGGGGATCACTAGTTCATATAGTCTGACGTATAACAGAAACCTAGAATTTCACCTAGTAATCCCTGTGTTGATCCCAATAACTTGTTTATCTAAAGCATATCTTCTAAAAAGGCATCCAATCTTGATATGAAGACAACAAGAGATGGAGAATCCACAGCTTACTTTTGTAGTTTTTTCCAATAGCCTGTTCCAATAGCCAGTTCCAATACCCTCACTGTTAAAAATGTGTGGGTTATTTCTAATTTAAATTTGTCTTGCTTTAATATCTAGACATTTGTTCATGAGATGCCTTTCTCCACTAGATTACAGAGTCCTTTAAATACCCCATATTTTCTCACCGTGAAGGTATTTATACACTGTAATCAAGTCATCTATCAATCTCCTTTTTGATAAACTAAATCAATTGAGTTCTTTAAGTCTCTCACATTAAGGCATTTTCTCTAGCCCTTAAATAATTAGTGCTTTTCCAGTCTTCTGGAATTTCCCCATTATTTCAAGATTTATTAGAAATTCACATCAGCAGACCAGAGATCTCCTCAGCCAACTTTTTTATGACTCTTGGGTGCAAGTTATCTGGGTCTGCTGATTTAACATTTGTTATCCCTCATAGATGCTCTTTAACAGCCTCCTTAATGACTAATAAATGAACATATTTTGCCATCCTCATGTGATACAAGTGCATCATCCTATTTCTTTCCTAATAAGAACAGAAATGTTTATTATTAAATACTTCTGCCTTTTCAGTATCAACTTGTTTATCTTCTCTGTCTAGCAATGGGCCTAACCCACTGTTAAAATATTTTTTGTTCCTGATATATAGGAGTGATAGGACTAGGGGTCAGGGGGGCTATCACCATCACAATGGAAATATTGTATGGAGTCTATTCCCATGGATACTTGTGCACATTGTGTGGGTGGGGGGAGGGCAGAAGTGAGAGCAGGACCTAGAGGAGCTGGAGTGGCCACTGCGGAGGGGATGAGACTGGGGAGCAGGTTGGTAATGGTCCCAGTGGTTCCTCTCCTAGCCTGGGCTGGCTACTCCCTTCCCTGAGTCTCAGTAACTCCCTTATTCCCCATCCTATCTCTCTACTCCCCCGCACCCCATTCACAGCAAGCTTCCCTGTCTCTCCCAGATATACTTAAAACTCTTGTTCTAATTGCCCTTAACCCTGCCAGCCATGGAGTTTTCCCTGGGGTCTTTAGTCTTGAGCTTATATTGAGACGTTAATTCCTGCTGTGAAGCTGGGTTTGTATATGGAACTGGAAAAATCATAAAGGCATACATAGACTTCTTTCTAATAACCTATATTTAGTTTTCAGAACCTTTGTCCTAGCTATAATTCCTTATCATTGGCACCAATTTGTGCAACTAAAGACTTCCTCATTTCAGCCTTGTGAGGGCTGCCACAATCACACCAGCTGAGCAAGTTACCTTATTCTCACAGTCATCCCATATTCTATCATCAGAAATGTACGAAGTTCAGTAACACTACAGCCTGTCTATTTAGCACCTTTGGAATGCCTTGATCTGGGCACACTGATCCTCCTCTTCTGCCACTACTGAAGGACTAGTTTTTTGTAAAGGATAGTGTCCCTTTGTTCCTCTTTGGTCACTTCTGTCAGGGTATTGGCTTCCTCAGTTGGAAAACTGATGCAGGTAGTTCTGAGGTGGGCTTACTGTACTATATTCCTATAAGCCACATCATTATTTTCCCCCCTTCCTCAGGTTGTACCTTTGGCACTCTGCAACCTACTAGGTATACCAACCCCTACAGTCTAAAGAGCTGCTGGCCTTCTGACTAGAGGGTTTCCTGGCTTGTCAGTTAGCTGGCTACTTTCCCTACACTTTACTGAGAGCAAAGCAAACTATTTATTTATTTATTTTAATTCCCACCTCTATTACTCACTGTTCTCTGTTTCTCCACTGGGATGTAGTTCAGCTATTTAATTCAATGAGTCCCTAGCTCCCACATACTTGCTCTTCTGCTTAATTATTACATATCCCTGTGTTTCTTTTGAGGAATGCTCTTCTGTTTTCAGTCAGGGAAGGGCAGCAGTTTGACAGGGAGATTTACTGATAAGTAGGAAAGCTTAATATTTTTGCTCCAGTGGAGACCGATAACATGCGTGATGTCTACATTTTTACACGCTACACTTTACACACAAGCTGTAAGCGCTGGGTTTCTCGTGTCGTTTGTAAGTGGAAGTGAAAAGCTCAGGGTCTTAAACTTACGGGAGCAATGAGGCTTTTCCCTTAGGTGAGAGGTGGGGAAGGAAGAAGCGGGCTTGGGAGAGCACCCACCCCTTTTGGCGAGGTGTTGTCAGCGCTGTTACGGGCAGGGCGGCGACACTTCCCAGCTCGCCAGATGTTTACACCACGCTCATCCCTGTAAGAAGCCAGAAAAGCTTAAATCGCAGCACAGGCCCCGGTGCGCCGGGCACCTCCGCCTCAGTCCTGCGGGCAGGAGCCGCTCCCCGGTGCGTTGCTGGGAGCCCAGTAACACCCCCTCGCTCAGGGGCTCCGGGCTGAGAAGAGCCACTGAGCCAGCGGGGGGAGGGGGAGAGTCTTGTGCCGGGTCCTGTACCCCAAGGAAAAGGGGGAGGCTCCCTCAGCTCCGCCCGGGCGCGGGGCGCTGCCTGTCCCGACTCCGAGCTGCTCCCTTCTCGACCCGGGCGGGGCCCCACGGGCATGGAGCTCCGGCCCGCACGGCGACACGGATGTGCCCGCCCCTCCCCGGCCTCGCGTCGCTCCGCCCCCGCCCGCGCGCGGAGCCCCGGGCTAGGAAAGGGCGGAGGGAGACGGTCCCCGCTGTGGGGCCCAGGCGGCTGCCGCTGCGCCTCTAGCTCCACGATCTGGGGCTGAGGAGGAGGGGGCGGAGCGGCGTCAGTTAGCCAATGAGCTGGGCGGACGGAAAGGCGGGGCGGGGCGATCGCGATCGCCGCCCAATGGGGAACGGGGAGGGGTCGCGTGCAGAGCTGGGAGAGTCGCAGGCAGCCGAAGGCTGGAGTCCGGGCTCGGGCAGCAAGCGGGGTAGAGCCAACCGCCGCACTTACTCCGCCAGGACCCGCCGCAGCCTCCCAGCGCGCCCTCGCACGGAGCTGAGCGAGCGAGGAGCCGGTGGGGCAGGGGGATCCGCGGAGCCCGCAGGGGGCAGGCGAGGGACCGACGGACTGACGGACGCTGCCTCCCGGAGGGGAGCGGGCGGAGCCGCCGCCGCCGCCGCTTGGAGCAGAAGTTTGGCTGGCGCCGCAGAGAGGAAACTTTTCTCCGGGGGCCGGAGGCGGGGGCGGCGGACAGGAGCCGACACTGGGCTGGTTCGGGCCGGACTCTGGGATCCGTGACCTAGCGCGGGGGCTTCTGCACGGCTCCCCCGGGCCGGGCTGCGGCGGCCGGGATGTACCTGGCAGCGGTCTTGGCGGGGAGGAGGCGCCCGGGCGGCGGCGGCTGGCACCTGGGGGCGGGGTGGCTGCTCCTGGTGCTGCTGGGCGAGTCCGGGACCCGGGCGCTCGTCTGCCTCCCCTGCGACGAGTCCAAGTGCGAGGAGCCCAAGAGCTGCCCCGGCAGCATCGTGCTGGGCATCTGCGGCTGCTGTTTCATGTGCGCCCGGCAGCGCAACGAGAGCTGCGGGGGCGTCTACGGGCTGCACGGAGCCTGCGACCGCGGGCTTCGCTGTGTCATCCGCCCCCCGCTCAACGGGGACTCCATCACCGAGTACGAAGTGGGCGTCTGCGAAGGTAACAACAGCGCGGCCCCTTCCCTGCTCCTGTCAGGGCTGCCCTCGCCCCGCCGCCAGGCTCGCCCTGCCCGGTGCCTCCCCGCTTCCCTCTCTGCGAAGTTTTAGCTCCTTTGCCTAGAGCCGAGGGTCGCTGCGGCCCCCTCTCGTTCGCCAGCTAAAGGGCTGGGCAAAGGGGTCCCGCCGCCTTGTGACCGGATTGTTTCCTCCCAACCCGTCCAATGCAGAGTCTGCGTGAGCTGCGGGGGTTTTAAATGCGAATTGCTTTGAGTAGTAACATGTCTATCTGCTAGGTGTCAGGGCGGGCGGGGGGACTTTGTTCTTGACGGAGTTTGCCTGGGTTTTTCTGCTCCTCTTCTGTCCCCCCCCTTTAAATCTCCGTGCAGTTCGAAAGGGAGCAACACATGATTATTTCCCAATCCTTCCACTGATCATGGGCAGGTGCCCTCTTTTATATTTATTTGCAGCTCTGGGGAGTTGTTACTTATTCCTTCTCCTGCGTTTGTCTAAACATCAATTGCGATTGTTTAAATTTGAATGAGGATTTCACTAATTATTTTGGTGGGGCAGCGAGACTGAGCTGTTCTCTCCTGGCAGCGTTTGGTATCAGGTAGTAGCCTAGGCTTTCTCTTTCTGTTAGCCTTGTTGCTTTCTTCGACGTTAGGAATGGTTCTGCTCCTGCTAGCCATGCCGTTTCTTACGTGAGACTGTCTGCTTCTCGCAATCGGGAGAGGAAAATTAGACCGGTAGTAATCGTGTTGTGGTAGCAACTAACTTTTTTGCCTTCACGCTGACTTTCGGACAAGGATTTAACTGAATGTTGCTGCTGCTGAGAAAAACCCATGTTTTGAAACGTTGACTTAAGTTTGGTAGTTGTGAAGTAGTTTTGGAATTTATAACAAACTGTTGCAATCTCGAATCCCTTTTCATTCGTAGATAATGTTAACTAATATCAATTCGGTCAACTACTGATGTCCCTGCCAAATTTCTTGATAAGATTTAAAGCGCTTGAAACAACAGCCTGGCAATTTGCCCTCGTGCAATAAACCGAGATCAATAATACACGTGATGCTTATTCCGGATTCCTTCTGTGGAAGGAAATAGAAAGACTGATCGTCTGTGGCAAACTTCTCCTTCCTGTTCCTGTCACTTAACACCCCCCACCCCCATATGATGAAATGCGTCTTTCCTTTTTCCTATAAGGGAAAAATCCGTACGGCAGCAGCTCTTCTCCAACCCCGCCAAGCTCACTTTGCCTGCTTCATATGTGGTGACTATATAGGAAATGCAGGGATATTTTCCCCTGTAGCTTACTTGTTTACCTTTACTTGGCAGGGAGGAGTCCTGGAATCTGACATTTGTCAGGTTGCTGAGGAAGGGAAAGCTTAAAATGTAAGAGTAAAATACATCGTGTTAAGAGATTTTATTTGGTGGGTTTTTTAAAAACAGACCGGACAATTCTGGAAAGTAAAAGGAGAGGGTGTTCTTGGATTTGGGGCTAGAGGGCAGTAAAGAGTTCGGAAATTCCTTTTAAGGAGGAGGCACTCGTCCAAAAACTGTTTGAAAACAACACAACACAACAAAACCCATTAAAATAAAACTGCCATCCTGACAAAAGTAACAGCCTTCTAAATATGTTCTTTGCTGGTAAACGTATCATTTTAGTATCCAATACTAGTTTTATAACTGATATTATCCACAAGTTAAGTAAACCACAACATTAAAAATATGAGAGAAGTTGGTGTGTCATGGGTATACAGAAACAAATAGTATAACATTCTTCCCTCAGGATTCGTTCAGTGGGGTTGCATGGGCATAGCTGAAGTGAAGAAAGCAGAATTGGGTTGAGTATTTTAATGAATTAATAAATATTTCTGAACTAATTTTTTCAAGAGGCTTGCTTGATTCATTCTATGTTGCATTGGTCTTTCTTTCCCACATACTTAGAAACACATTGATTTAAAACAAATATACATATACAGAATATTATAAGTATATAGAAAGTTATCATGATTAAAATATCTTTCAGTTTGGATAATGGTCCCTCTTCTTGCATGTGCTAAGAATAAGCATAGCTTGATCTGGAGAGTGGAATAATGAAAGCCTACAGTAATTAAATGTCTTGACAAGCCAGATCTTTGTGTATCACAATGTGGACTTTTCTGGCAGTTTAGGAACATTTCATTCTTTTTGAAGTGATGCAATATGAACTTTGCATGATTTCAACTAGTAACATCCCATATACTCTCTTAAAAATGGTATGAAGCATCCGTTGGCAAGATTATATTTCAATCAGTGCTCTGTGACTGGAAACTAGTTCCAGTTGTTCCTGTAGCCATCATCGAGATAATTTAGGAACTATTATTCTCAAATGAAAGAAGCAACTGCTTAAACTTACCAAATCTAGAAGATATTACTAGGATAAATGTTGCTTTATGTAAAGTTCTACCTGTGATTGTCCTAAGCTGTGAAACTGTTTGGTATGTAACTGGCCTAGTTTTTTGTTTGGGGTGGAAGAAATTTTGATGTCTTATCTCTGAACCAATAAAAGGACTTATTTTGAACTAATCAGACAGTTTAGAGATATAACTTGCAGGTAGAAGTATGACAGGGTAGGTTATCGACCTTATTGCTAGCTTTTAACACTATATGTAGTAATCTCTTCGCAGGCTAACAGGATAAATTATTACTGTATGTCATGTCTATTGCAGTGCATGCAGTTCTTCTATAACCGATATGCTTGAATAAAAGTGAAATTGACTAGCTAAGGAAACAATGTATATAACTACAGTGTATGTGAATAGAAATGGATATCTTTTATTTTTTTTGTCTGTTCCTTTCATTGCAATTTTTACACTGAAATGACCCCTACTGGTTACAACTATAAGTGTAGAAAATTTTTATTTTTGTGGCTTCATAAATGGCTTAGCTGAGACAAAGCTGACCTAGACCCTTTCTGACATAGAAAAACTTTTGCATGTTTTCAGGATCCTACAGTTGTCTTCAGAGACTGATGTTATTTATACCTGCTCCAATTACAGCTACTTCAGTTGATGTCATTTTCTCAAAAAAGCAAAATCAATGTGATCTGCACTTTTGGTGGGACAAAGTAGTTCTGTGGTATCTCTTCCAATGGAGGAATTTATATTCAGAACTTGCCTCTAATCCTGAAGTATGCTGCTACCAGTAGCATTGGTACACTAGGAAGTGCATTCTTCTGTATGAATTTGTGCTGAACCAATACATCAGCATGGTGTGAAAATAACCTGTGCTACCTCAAGGTGCCACTTTTTTTGCTGATGTTAATTTAAAAAACAACAAAAATGGTTTGTAGTTTTCACACTTTTTTAGGTTGAGGTTAATGCATGTTAGCTAATGCTATTTTTTCCTAATGAAAGCAAAACCTAGGGGAGAAAATGAGAATTCTGTCTTTATTTCAGAAAGGGACAGGGTATCTACATTTAATCTTTGGACAATAATGTCGTATGGAGAGCAATTTCTTGCAGCCTCTGTAATGGTAACATTAGCCTGTTTATGGCCTTTTAGCACATAAAAGGCCATAAACATATACAAGAGATTGTATATCTTGGTGTGTAGTTTTCTTATGTAGTAAGATATCAACATATTAATTTAAAATACTGAGAAATTACTGTTTCTTGAGAGGTTAATTGGACCCAATTCAAATATGAATTTGATCAATCCACTAATAGACTCTGCAGACTAAAAAAGAAAAAAAGGATTACCAGTGAAAAATCTTCCTTTTGATGCCTTAAGATTAACTTGATAGTTTAGTGAGAACAATTATTGGAAACATTTTGTAATATGTAAAGGAATGAGCAATTGTCTATTTTGATTAAGCTACTTGTGTATAGCAAATGAGTCTCTAATGTAATTGATGCATTAATTATGTTTTCCATTTAGTGCATTTACTTTGGGGAAACAGACTTCTCATACTCTGATTTTTGTTTAGTATTAGAAATCTATGTAGATTGTTTGTTTGAAAGTGATCTTAGGAAATTTTGGTCAATTCAAACTCAGGTATTCTGCTCAGATTATTATACCATGCTCATCACTGTAGTATCTGAATGCCTTCCATTAAATGATGTGATTAGCACTGTCACGTGTTGTTCACTCTTCTCC